AGGTTATATGACACACCAAAAGCCCACTTGACAACTTTCTTCTCCCTGACGCTCGTTTCGAACACATCCATATAGATTTGGTTGGACCCCTTCCTGGATCCCATGGATATACCTATATTTTGTCTTGCATTGATCGATTCACACGATGGCCGGAAGCAGTACCCATCAAGGACGTATCTGCTGAAACAGTCACACGCATCTTTGTGGAAAGATGGATCGCCCATCCTCCATAACAATCGACCGCGGGCGGCAATTCGAAAGCTGCTTATTCTTCTCCCTGACTAAAATCATAGGTTACATGCGTTTCCGAACAACAGCCTACCATCCTCAAGCAAATGGTATGATAGAACGTCTACACAGACAGTCGAAAGCTGGTTTGTCAGCTGCAAACAATACCCATTGGACTGAATTCCTTCCGTTAGTTCTCCTAGGGATACGAAACACCCTGAAAACCGATGCTGGTTTTACTACCGCCTGGTGAATTTGTTTCTCCCTCGAGCTTCCCACTAGCGGTAGATCACGCTTCATACGTCAGCAGGCTTACAAACGCAATGCGTTCAGTTAAACCTGCTCCCCTTTGTCAACAGTCCATTGATGTCTTTGTTCACCCGTGTTTAAAAACTTCTTCACATGTATTTGTTCGTCGTGACTCTGTGCGTCGACCTCTGGAACCACCATACGACGGACCATATAACCTAATTGAACGTATGGATAAATCCTTTTTCTTAGACAAAAAGCGCCACGAAGACACCGTCAACATCGACCGGCTTACTTGGAAGGTAATCCTATTAGTCTAGAGCTGAGCGTACCCAACAATCCACAAGTAATCGAATATTCTTTAGTCGTTTAAGAAGTTACTAGCACGGCGTTAGTATACTCCGTAAAATTCGCGAACGTCAAGACTGTCTACCTCTAAAATCTTAACAATAGCAAAAGTGGCAAATACTAGTGGAGTTCAAAACTGTATCCACTCACTCTAAAATTTCATCTTGTGATGAATGTACGTTCTCTGCTCAGCTGATGTCCTGTTTCCACTATCTGTTTGGGACTGTTGCTCTGTCTGTTACACGTGCACACTTCAGAGGTAAATAAGTAATCCCTACTAAATGCTTAAGGCCATACATTTTTCTGGAGGGAAACGATCTCTCGCATCTCCCATGTCTCCATGAATCTTTTCGCAACATCCAGTTAGGGAAACGTTTGGTCGTACACATAGTTGTATGAATTTATGAGGTCATTATTGAAAAATCTTGAGAAAATAACCTGATGGTTAGCTCAACGCTGAAGTATACTCATTATTTTATTATTCATTTTATCCCTTTGTGTTCCCAGTGGAACATACGGCTTCAAGATAGAGCTATGAAATTTCAGTAGCAGTGGTTTTATTTGTACCAGGTAAGATTCCTAGTCTTTCTCTCTTTGCCAAGCATACTACCAACTAAGTGAGGTTTGCGAGTGCCTTGTCGGCCTGGGATTGAATCCCGTACCATTTGAGTGGTTGACCAATTTTTTACCACTAATTCACCGACACTTGGTAAATTGTGCTAGGACCAGTTAAACACAATTCACCCCCAACCATCTTCTCTCTTATTCACTTGAAGGAACATAACTTATAATAAAGATATTTCAAGGAATTCATTCTAATTTGTTCACAATCATAGTTTATTATAATTATATTACGCATCTTATCATAAGGATCGTTTTTTTAAATCCTTTTGTATAAAATCAACTTTTTAACTCCGTGTTAGTATTTCTGCTTATTTTCTCTCATACAGTCTGCACGTCATCTTTCTGCAACAACATGTATTCCTACTGTTGACCTTAAACCACACCATTTTTTACAATGCATAACCGAAAAGACGACGTTAGGACAGTTTTCAAGCATCTGGATTACAAGTGACTTACAACAGTGAGCATTCCTCCCTCCATCAAACTCAAATTCATTCAATATCAAAAGGAGTATCTATTAGTTAACACAAAGAGAAAGGAATTGCACCTCGAATATTTAATCAGGAGAAACACATTGATTAAAACTTTTGAATTGTTACAGCGTTCACGGGGAAATATCACTAGTGAAATATGTAAAAATAAAAACTCCTGAAACTCAAATAAAAAATTAGTTAAAAGAGATCTTGGGAACAGCCGAATTTCGATTCACGTTATATAGTTCAAATAGGAATCAGAGACGATTTTCTCCACACTGAGTAACATTTCTAGACCTCTTGTGCTGTACGAGGAACGTTTTCTTTCAACCATTGTACAATTGTCTGGAGGTGGGTGTCAAGCCATTTCAAATTTCGCTTCGAGGTAGTTAGCAAGTTCTTCAGTTCCCCTTTGAGTGTATGATTCTGTGGTAACTGTAGCCAATCAGCCTCTGTTCTCAGTATCTGTAAAGGAAATGAGATGTGTTATGTTCATGTTTACAGTTATGAAAAACATGTTTCGAAGAAGAATATATAAAATATCTCTACAGTAATGAAATGAAGGCGCATGTATTCAGGTTTCACTTGTAGGTGAGTATGTATAATTATCGTCCACTAATACTATTTATTCAGTCCTGATGCACACAAATACAATAACTATAAGATTTCTGATTAAACACCAGGCACTGGCTAATTTCCCCTGTTGTCCTGTTCTTCGTTTCACGCTAACTGAATTCTATCAGTTAGGTGTGCAATTTGGTCACCATGCTAGCTGACTTGCTATCACGGGGCAGTTTGGATCGTTAGGGTAAAACTAGGGGCACCCACTTTTTCAACTAAAGACATTACCACTACTATTGAGCCATTCATTATCGTGATTGATCTTCTGTGAGACTGTAATGGATACTTTGTTTGGACACTAGGCAGTAAATGGTATCATGTGTGTCATTCTTCTTTTGGCGTAGACAGAATTCAACCATATGACAAGCACGAAACCAAGGTCCAAGGCTTCCTGCTGACTGCCTCCAACTACCTCACTTCAAGTGAACATAGATAAAACAGAGGTGATGAAGATTCTTGGCCAACACCAAAAGCAGCAACAACAACAGACAACAATCAGCCAGCATAAATGGGAGGAACATGAAACAAACAACCTCCTTTACCTACCTACCTGGGAAGCATCGTTTCAACTATAGGCGGCGAAACTGACGAGGATATCAAAGCACAGAAAATCGGGAAAGCAAGACAGGCTTTCATTACACTGAAGTCTGTGTGGAGGTGAACAGCACTCAGAATCAAAAATAACATCCGGATTTTCATCTCCAATGTGAAGTCAGTGCTACTCACTGTACGGATCAGAGACTTGGCGAGTCATAAAGAGCATCTCAAACAAACTACACACCTTCATTAACAGTTTTCTTCGCTCAATACTACACAAGATTAGATGGCCGGCCAGAAAAGATCAGCAACAGGGATCTCTGGCAATAAGCGAACCAACCCAGCAGGAACCGATTGTGAAACCAATAGGCAGGAAGAAATGGAGATGGATTTCTGAACTAATTTGATGAGGATGAAGTGTAATTTAACCACTCAAGATTCAAGTATACAACCGGTTCACCTTCTGCTATTACCAAGATTTAAAAATGTAAGATACTTCCAGTCTTCCGTGTCACTGTACATCAGCAAATCTTATGCACCAGGCTTCATCACACTATACGTGTCGTTCAGAGGACATTATTAAAATGTTCCTTTTCCACAAAAACACCAGGCGATTAAAAATACATTTATAAAAGTAATCTTTGACGACTTCTGAAGAATTATATATATATATATATATATATATATAATATATATATATATATATATATATATATGTGCAAGATAAGATTTTTGACAGCAGAATCAGTTACATTCATTCACGGGGAATCAAAAATAATCGCCCGAATTGCAATAGCTACTATCCACGTAGTTAAGTAGCTTATAATTATTCGCATAAATAAATCGGACTTTATGTGAGAAGAATATTTTGTTCAGCCACTGTGGTACTTAAGTATGATCTCATATCAGTCATGTTTATCTGAAATAATACACAGAAATACATTAATATTAAATGGATAACTTTTCCAACACAACTCATTGTAGGCACTCATACGTATAATCATTACAAAGAGATGAGTGAATTGAAGTTACCTTGGCATTTTGTCGCTCAAAAAATATTCGCATTAAACCACTTCTCACTTCATTTTATTTGTGCATTCCAGTGTGGGTTGAGTAGATTTATGGAAATTCATTTAAACTTTAACTTTGATTTCCAATATTAGAATACTTAATCATAATTCCATCTGACTGCTGTGAAACAGCTTCCAAACAACTTAAAATTAGTGCGACTATTCAAAATATACGAGTTTCACGGAGTACTTTGTAGTTGCCATTTGTCAAGGACAAACTCCATTTGATGTAATCAGAGGAGCATGATTGCATCCCACAGTGAAAAGTTCAAGGTCTAGCAAGAGTTCATGTTGAACACCTCCTATATTAGTGGACCTAAATTATTCGGACCACAAACAAGTAGCGTCAATGGCTGTGATGTCAATTAATTTGTGTGTCTCTGCGTCATGGCAAGATAAATCATTTCTGCACAGATCCCCATTTCATCGGTTTCAGAACCACTGAACCAACAGGCACAGCTGTTCCATTCAAGTATGATGCTCTTTAGGAATGCTCAGCCACATCTGTAGGCACTTACTGGGGTTCGAACCCAGGAACTTCAGGTCACAGAGCTACTCCACAACCCATTTAGCCACTGGATCCTGATACGACGACCAGCCCATGAATTCCAACTTCTATCAATTTGTGGTATATATATATATATTGAAGTCGTCAGTCAATGTTATATGCGAGTTACTGTACTCTTACCTGACTCGTGGATCTCACTGGTCACGAGTACCCATTTATAAACACACACTTGTACGTATCAACACTTTCATACTAAATTTTATTTTCTAACACATGTACACTGTATTTTACAATCAGTGCGTTGAAGAACAGTGAAAATTATCATGTTGAAATCAGACTCACCTTTTCCCCATCATTTCTGTTATTCAAGCTGTAATATGGATTAGAAAGACTCTGGATCACTTCTTTGGTGAATTCATCACTGAAAAAGAAAAGCGTGTGAAAGTCAACATTGTAAAGGTGAAATTAAAAGCGATAAAGTTAATTATGCTAACACAGTGTAAGCGATTTAACTGTCTTATAGGTTACACATTAATTATTACCAGTATTATTACTATTGTAACAACAGAAGACAAGGGCCGGCAACAGATCGCTTTATTACGGAAGTCAGAAAGTATTTATATATGTTTCATGTGCATCATTATAGCTTATTCAAGCAGACAAACACAGTCTTCTGATTGATTGTTTCTGGTTTCTCCAAAAGTTAAGCCATACATCTGCGAATCTTATTTGCCCACGTAAAGTCTGCTGTGATTGGTTGTTGAATCAGCCTTGTTCATATTTTCTCACGGCCAATATTGCTGACCTAGACATTGACGTAAATTAATGTCTACCAATTGGCTAGCAGCCTGCTCTCATCACACTATTATCTGCTTTGGTTCCGGGAGGAAAATAGGGCTTCATCCTCACGTCTCAACCGCGTTCGGTCCTCTGCCAACGTTTTCAGCTGGCTCCACGTCTGACCACATACTTTCATCTCCTCTTCACATCACCACCTCCTTTTCATGTCACCCTTACAATGACGACCAACTCAAAGCTTCCTTTTCGGGTTCCACTCAAGAAAGAGAAAGTCTGGAGTGTGATGCCACTTGATGGTTTTCTCAAACTATGGCCAATCCACCTCCATTTCTTCCTGCATATTTGCTGCACAATTGGTCCCTGGTTGGTTCGCTCATTGCCAGAAATCTCTTCCTGTCGCTGATCATTTCTGGCCATTTGATCTTGAGTATTCAGCAAAGATGGCTGTAGACGAAAGTCTGTAGATTGTTTGAAGTGCTCTTTGTGACGCGCCCAGTCTCTGATACACAAAGTAGCACCGACTTCACAATGGAGTTGGAAATCTGGATCTTATTTTTGATACTGAGTGCTGTTGATCTACACACAGACTTGCCTTGTTTTCCCGATCCTCTCTTTGATATCCTCATCAGTTCCGTCCGCCTATAGTTGAAGCGGTGCTTCGCAGATAGGTAAAGGAGGTCGATTCTTTCAGATTCTTCCCATTTGTGCTGATTGTTGCCTGTTGTTGTTGCCGTCGGCCAGGAATCTTCGTCACATCTGTCCTCCCTTTGTTCACTTGGAGTTCTATCTTCGATACTTCTTCTCCCAACTTGTTGCTTTTCATTTGCATCCCTTCTATTTTATGTGAAATCAGGCACATATTGTCAGTGAAATCCAGAACCTCCAAGTATTTTGTGTGGGTCCATTTTATGCTTGTCTTCTCGTGCCTCGCTGTCTGTCGCGTTATGCAGTCTACCGAAATCAGGAAAATCATTGGAGATTTTTAGCAGCCAGCCGGCCTCGTATTACTCCTGCCTTTACTTCGACGGTTTCCGTGAGTTTCCCAATGATTATTACTAGCAACAAACAGATTCCAAATAAGGCTGTCAACCGCAATTGCAGATTTCATTTAAACAACACTTTCATGTTCATGATATTTCAAAGTTTCAATTTATGTACTGCGTTACATCCATAGAACAAACAATGACGGTGATTACTCCTCCTTGTGGATAATTAGCATAAACATAAATTCATATGACACACCGAAAATCACCTTTCCTGCCAAGAAGAGGAAAGCCGTTAGCTTATCCAAAATCTAGACTGGCGCACTTCCAGACATAGTACAGTCATCACTGTATGAATACCAAAGTAATTTGCAGAACAGCAAAGTTGTTCAAGGAGGAATCTCACACAAGTTAAATGAATTTCTGAGAATGAAATTTAACAGTTGGTTTGAATTCTTAATGCAATGGAAATCAATGGTGATAGAACTCACATATCAGTTGGGGAACGTGTTGAATTTTCCATGCTGTAAAAGAAATAGACGAATCATTTGTTAGAACTAATTCGATTTAATCAACTTCCATACAGGTTTTGATCATTAGGTTAAATATTCTACATTTAATTAACTAGAGGTCACTTATTGAAACATTTCCGCAGTATAATCAGCTACAGTTGAATATATTACGTTTAGTAATTATGAGTTAATTAGTTCCAGTCATCTGTCACTGAGGATTCCTCTTTTTAAACACCAGTCATTACTCAGATATACCTTCACAATTTGCTTAGAAAGATGTTGTGAAAGTATGTAGAAAGGAGTCGGCTATATTCCCCTTTATTGTGCTTTCAATGTGTATGTCCAAAATGTGTACATCTGGACATTTTATTGGAGTGTTTTCACTCAGTTATAAACTCGTCAGAGTATTCCTTATATCTTGAGGCATTTGTATAAAACTAAAACTCGGATGTCAGGAACACTTTTGTGTGGAAACTCATAAAATCTTAAAGGTTTATTAACCCGATGACAGGTAGTTCAAATGAAATATTTTCTATGTAGCAATATCGAGGTTACTGGCTTCACTGACATACACGGAAAAATTATTGGGACCGATGTACTGAACGACGCAGAAACCGAAAGTGTGAGATATAAATGGCAATACTTAGACGGTAAATATGTCGTCTATTATAGCTTGACCCCAACAGTGCTACTGCCAACCAGTGCTTCATGACTTATAAATTTTCCATACAATGAGTAATGCAGTTACTAATTTTATGTTGCTGACTCTAGTCTTGGTAATTTTCCATCTAATGTTTTGCAATTTGCATGCATAAATGAGTAGATTACAAGTTGAGGAGAACGGATGCTGAGTGTTCCATAGTACGCCACGCCTCATCATCGAACAGAGCATAGAAGAATGGCAGTCGGATCTCCATATTCAGCTTCATCCGACTTGAAAAAGTCTTCAAAAGAGTTGACCACGAAGTTATTCTGAAACTACTTCTGCACTACAGAGTACACTGAACCTGCTTCAGTTTCATTCAACAGTTTTATGATGATGCCACCTGTCAACTGATTCACAACGGAAAACTCACATGAGTTAGACAAGGCTGCCCACTACTATCCCCGATGATATTCCGAATTGTTGTGAACTAGATTATTCACTGTGCTTCAGAGTGAGAAGACAGGAATATATTGCATGGATAAGAAGATTCTAGAAGATCTGGGTTTCGCGCATGATTTTTCTGATCTTTGTTTTGGAGATCTACAGGCGGAAACCAACAAGTTGACGGTAGGGCTAGCAGCAAAGACAGGAGTTCAAGTAAACATAGTGGAATAGGAGGTGATGAAGTTAAAGAACCACTCTAAAACAATAGCAACCAACAATCACCATTGACAGAAGGAATTTGAAGGAATGATCTTCTCAACTATGGTTGACAAGTTTAAGAACATCAAATTCTACATCGGAAAGGCAAGGCAGGAATTCATCAGCCCACAGTCAGAATGGAAATCTTCCACAGTCATTATAAAGAAGAAGATTCGGAATATCAACACTAATAACATCAGAAAAATTTCTCTCCTATATGGTTCGCCCATTCAAAATTTATTCAACTGGAATGATTACTTTATTTTGTTGCAGAGTCCACCTTACAAACTCACCAGACGTTATATGAGTGGCTTTCTGATAATATTGTTTCTACTCCACTGATGTCATCTTAGGGTTGAGTCACGTAGTCACGCTCAACAATAGTCAGACAAAATGTCATAAAAATATGAATAAAAATGTACGAATCAACAGGGAAAATGCAAATGTCATAAGTGAATGACAGATCGTTTCTTCCATTAAATGTCATGGATAAATTATAAGGTAAATTCAAAATACATCTCAAGCTCAACTCACCCAGTTTTCAAAGATTTGACCGCTTCATGCACATGGTCCCACAACATTCTGTTACCGATTGGAGATACTGCGAATTCAGGAATCGCTGACCAGTATTGTTTGTCTTGTTTAATCCAATCAAAGTATCTGGATGTGAACAAAACCAGGAGGAGACAGTGACGTCATCATCATCATTATCAGAATGTGACAGTTAATTTGAGGGATTCATTCTGTCTCTTTGAATACCTACAGACCTGATACCTGAATATCACATTTGTGTTGTGTCGCCAACCGAAACGACGAGTTTCATAGTCGTCGTCAATTTAAGGAAACAGGAATGTAAGGAAGAAGGCGAATAGTGGCAGAAGACAGGAACAAAACGATGAGAAGTTACTTCTCCGTCAAGTCAGGGGGTTCTATGGCGTCTAGCAGCAATAGTTCGGTTATTCCCTGCCTCCATATAATTCTTTCTTATTAACCAAAGTTCATTGTGTATTTTGCATCCTCTATAGAAAACATTTCACCTAAAGACAAGTTATTCCCTCTGAAATTCGATTCTCTGTAACTTTAAACCTTAAATTTTTGGTTATTTTTATTATCGAAACCCTTAAGTCCCTAACAGTCTTGACAACTCACTCGGTGGCCATCATCATGACCATCATAAATTATTAGATTATTTGATAGGTCGGGTAGCTTATCAACTATTTTGTTTCACACAAACAGTTCATTACAAAAAAAGACTTAAGTGATAACAATTTTGACAGTGAATTGAACACATTAAATCTCAACTTGCTTATTCGACTAAATTGAAAGGCATGAAATGAAATTCTGATTGATGACAGATGGTCTAGTCTTTCTTCGTTTTCAATGAACAAACATCGGACGAATTAACTGTTAATATTATATACACTTACAGTTTCATCGTCCATACATCACGAGAACAAGATAATCCCGTCAAGATATTTTCTTTTTCAACATCTTCCGTCTCATTAACATTGTACTGACTTCTGAGAAATTTCCATTCTGCTTGCCCACCAAATCGGATAGCTGTACAGTAGACGACTGATCTCAAACCAGGCGGTATGCTATGGAATGTGTATTCAGAGTTAACAGGAGGTAGAATAGGCAACGTATAATCAGACTAAAGAAGACAAATTTTGAATCAGGTTGATTAACTATCTCACCTGATGATAAGAACTGGATGTTAATTATGGTTTCACCTTTGTATAGCAATAGTTGTTTGGGAAGTCCCTCTTGGATGATTTATTTACGATATTGTTACTTATTTAGACATTCCAACCAACTCTGTGATTATTATCCCTTTTTGTCCTAGACTGTCCATCAACGTTCTGACGTTCTTGTGTTGTCTGATGACACAGTCCTCATTATTTGTCCTTGTTTCTGTTCAATCTCCAATTTTAATGCTTCTCTTTGTGGTTGTATTATGACATCTGTAATGTGTTATTTTTTGACAGCGATTATGTTCTAGAGAGTCAAGGTGATTCTGAACTTCGAGTGTCTTCAGGAATTGTTTGGTGTGTGTGTGTGTGACTTGCTAAGAGAGTTTCAATCCCACCTAGTTGGAAATATACTTCTTGATTCCTAAGTACCTTATACGGTTGATCTTGACTGAATAATTCTGTTGTATAATACTTCTCTCGTATCTGAGATCTGATTTGATCTGCATAGCTGCCTAACGGGATTGTTGAGGTAATTTTGCATTTCCATATGTTATGATTGTATTTACTTGTACCGTGGTATTTATCATAAACAGCTGTCTTTTTACTACTGTCCAGACGTTTTTGTGACTGTGAGTAAATGATATAAAGAACTTATGGTGGCCTGTTTAAATCACTGGCCAACCGAAACTGCTTTCCACCATAATGCTTAATTTCATGGGGATTTATCGTTGTTTTAATTGTTCAGATGTATCAAATAACCTATAGATGAAATTCAGCGCTGATTCAACTTGTTTCCAAGTAAACGCTGTGAAGTTCTTCAAGGAAACAAAGATATACTTCAGATTATTACTTTACATGTAAATCGTCTTTCAAGAAAAAATCATTTTGGAACTTAATACACTGAAAATTTTTGTACTATATGTTCACATATTGTGTGAAATAACGCTTTATTATTATTACTACTATAATTAATTTATTGTTAGCTATACAGTAGAACACAATGAATTTTTTTTTTTTTTTTTTTTTTTTTTTTTTTTTTTTTTTTTTTTTTTTTTTTTTTTTTTTTTTTTTTTTTTTAGTTTGCGTTGAAAGTTGCCTGTAAACAGATTACTAAGTATTTGTAGGTATTTTGCAACAATCTCTACCCCATTTAACAATAGATTTGCTTGATAGAGAGCTTACTGCATGCTTGAATCTCGATTCCCCCTATAGAATTAAACCATAACTACGGTTAATGAATTATGAGGAGAAAATTTAGCACCTTTCGGAGAGTCATATCTATGAAGAATGCATATTTCGAGGATATAGACGAGTCAAATATTTGACATTAATAATTGAAGGCCAAGTATTGGTTTGTAGGGATTAGACTGACTGGTTACGGGATTCCACCATGAACTGTCGTAAATTGTTCAATGGATCTGGTACCAGCGGCTGAATCGTCTACGAGCTAGATAGCCTTGTAACCTGAAGGACCTGGATTCGGTCCCCGGTAGGCGCGTATTGGCGAAGAGTCCCAAACAAGACTGATGAAACGGCTGTCTGTCCAGTACTCCCTGCAAGTTTTCCAATAATTGAAGGCCAAATCAGAACATCTGTTATGAACAGGTCATCCATCAGCCACTTCATCATCAATCAATTTTGTCAAGATATTTCAATAATATGTGATCGATAAGTTGAGGTTTGTCAAAGAAGTGAGTTCCTATGAAATTCTCTTGAAATATATTTCAACTTCATACTCCAATAATGTTTATTCTGCTGTGGTACACTGATCGCCCAAAATATGTTTACCAGTAATATGTATCTTTAACGAGAAATGGATTCAATAACACCGTAATGTCCATCAGTCATGAGAATTCTTCACTGATCTTGATTCATCCATCTATTTAGTTATGAAATTCATGTCACATTAATGAGTTTCCCTACCGTTTGACTCGTCTCAAGAGATCTTAAAACAAGTAAGTGTTCAGATTCGTTGGTTGATCAATAAAACGTGCCTCAGAATGCCATAAATGAGAGATGGACATCTACATCGTTGGAATATTTTGACATTCAACTAGACTGAATGATACTCTAAATGAAATTACGTCAGCTTTCCATCTTTATATTGGAAACTGTCATTATATTCCCCACAAATAATGGTAAGTGGAGTGCTCTCCAAGACTAAATACATGGAACAATCTGGACAACTTCTCTTAACAACACATCTCGAAAATGTTACTGTTGCTCTTCAGATCACTTCCACATCGATTCAAACAAAATGTCTAAGCGACTATCTCATTATAACATCAAAATAAAAGTTAATGTTTCTTGAATAACTCACGGATTCGTCACAGGTTCCGACATCCATAGTGTGAATAATACTCTAGCAGTGTGTAGACATAATTCATGTTCAACATGACAAGCAATTTCCCCCAAGGTTCCGCGTAACAAACTGAAGATCAACAACAAAACGAGACAAGAAATCAAATGCAAATCAACCTTTTTTGATGAGGTTTAAGTCATTGACAACTGAATATGAAGCACATAGATGACCAGAAATACGTGCCTACAAATTTATTCCACACAACGTTCAGATACATGCAAAGAAAATCAGTATATGCTAAAACATCCTGCATCGCTAAAATCTTCATGAGTAATTGAAAGTTATCGATTGTTAAGCATTTTATCCCTGATCACTTTTCACTATTATCATCGTTATAGCTCTTGGCCAGACCTTACTTCAACTCTTTTCACTCCCATCAACTATGTTATGTGTCTCTATTTAACGATTTAATTCCACTTTAATCTCTAACTGATTAATGATTCTGTATTGAGCGAATTTCTTTAGAATCTTGGCGTTTATCTAGAAAACCGAAAATTTTAGTGATGCGCTTCTTAATTAAATCACCCAGCTCAGGGAACACAACCTCATTCAAATGTATGGAAGCATTCGGAGATAAGAAGTGTCTGAAGATTTCTTAATCATATTTCTTAATCCATTAGTCTTGAAATACCACTGCCATTAGCACTACATTTGACATAACAATTAGGCATAAGTGTTGCAACGAATGAATGATTAAGAAAGCTATAAAACTTACTGTTTCTCTTCATTGCGATCTTCTCTCATAGTTATCCAATCAACGTCTCTCACAGCTGCATTTACAAGGAGACGTACATATGCTTGATAGCCTCCGTAATTCTCATCCAAAAGAAGCATACGGTCAAGATAGAGAAGAGCTCTTCTGGCAGTTGTCCAAGGCACATATTGCGTTTCTTGGCTCAAATATTTCGTCAAGTTCAGGAAAGTAGTGAATGATACGTTACCATGACTGGAAGAAAGTAGAAAATATGTGAGATTTTCAGTTATACCTTGATTGGACACTAGACAGTAGTAAATAGTTGTCATGTGTCTAGTCTTTTGTTCAATGCACACTGAATTTTCGTTTGCTATTTCGTTTTCAAACTGTCCTGATCAACACAAACTATCTCAGCCTTAAACTTTTGGACTCTTGGCATTCCGAATGGTGACACTCAGTATGTACTTCTCACTAAATTGAATTGAGATCTCATATTTTATCTTGAATATGTACAAGAACTTCAAAACCTAGTTCACCCTAATAATCCTACAGGTTGTTGATAGTTTTTGGGGCAATATGGTGTTTGAGATTCAGAAATACTTTGTTTTCCTCGAAACATTGAACAACCGATAACTGTTTAAATGTATCTCTTTTCACTAATGACATTAAGAAGGTCAAAATAGGCAGGGTGTAATGTTGGAGGAAAACGTTTACACTGTTTTTGAAGAAGAATGCAGTCTCTCATTCACTGTCTGAGATATCATGCTAGTGATGGGAGAAATATAAGCACATTTAATGTAACTATGAGTGGATTTCCACACACTGTACACTAAGATACACTTTGCAGTTCCTATTGAAACAACACAATTGAAGCAGGAACGTCTTGGCTACTAATTCACCTCCAAAGGAACTTTATTTAGGCTATAATTTCCACTATTGCGGATGAAGCATATGCGTATAAATTTTGTAGCAATCACCTGTTGTGTAAACTCATTACTATGTTATTATTAACGCTTTACCATGACACCATTAGACATGAGAATTTCAAGGAATAAATGCAAGACGAAATATCCATATCCTATTCCAGATGAAATTGTTAACAGCTCAGATTTTTTGAAATGCTAAATAGGTGCTTTTCTTGACCTCTGTGAAATCATGAAACAAATCGAGAAAAATGAGGAAGATATCTGATGTTTCCAATGAACCAGTATAACAATATGAAGCCTTCTTATGAAAACAACTCGCCTACCAGATAGTAGGATAGTGCAGAGAAAGAACTAGAGGTGTATAGTTAACCTGACCACTGCTCATCAGTTAGTGATTCCATAGGTATATTTTTATTTTATGATCTTCGTTTAGTTAGTGATCACTTACTTTGCGAGATGGAATAAATCACCGATGATCTGTGGACGTGCAGAATCTGGAATACTCTGAAAATAGAAAATAGACCATATGAATTAACAGAAATTTTGAATGATCTTTGAATGCCATACTTGTGGAGATTCAAATTATTTCAAAGTTAATGTTTTTGTCTCACTAGGCAACACACATCAACTAGAAGAGAGCTGAAAACCAAGGAACTGCAAAAGGATTCTTCATACTAGAATGGGATTCTCCAGGAATCCACATTGATTACCTGATCACGGATAGAACACACACGACAAGGACGTCATCAACTCAGATTGTTTCCACATTCTAAAATTAGACAAATGTCTTTTGGCGGACAAAGTGTTTTTGTGAAGATATGGCTTCTGCAATATGAACTACAATTTTCTAAGTCATTTTGACAAACAGATTTCGGTGTTCTGTGAAATCCTAATTATTTCGTTTTACATATCTACAGATTTACTCCAGTGGGGAATTGTCCATCACACTGTGTAGTTATTCTTTTCAAGAAACATTCTAAGAGATAAATCAACTGGCCAACATTCTCGTGCATCATACCTTCTAACCGTTAACACATATTAAACATGATAGAAATCTTCCCTTTGTGTTAGCCTTCACCCTTTTTTATCTTGTACTAATTTGTGAGTTGTGGTTGAAGTAGAGACTCGGGAAGAAGACTGCCTTCTGTGGGAAAGAGATCTTTGAATTATTCATGCAGCTGAAAGGATTGATAAAATCAAATGAACATTGCGATCATGAAGTAAGGCGGCTGAGTTGGCGTTAATCAGTAAACATTTAGTATTCGTCCTTCAATTAACACGTTTGCATTTCTTTACAAGGTAGTAATAAAATTACAAGATATCGTGTATATCCAACATGTTACCTCGTACATATCTCAGTCGAACACCCACTTTCTCTCCATATAGTCCGTTCCTTGCCTTTTGCTTATTCCTCAATGTCAACATGACAAACATTTCCTCAGGTTATGTAATTCACACATATCACACTTATAGGATGTTGTCAGCCACTTGTGTTCAGTTTAATGTAGGTCACTGAACAGATTCGTATCTAACCAGACTGTATCAGTGATTATAAGTGAATGACTCAATAATAGACGATTGTAACTTGACCTTTTCTGTTATGGTCACTGTTATTACGAAATAAGATTTTTTAAATCAGTCCTACTTTCTCAGTAAATGGAACAACTTACCCTATAGTTTTTGAGTAATTCATCTATCAGTAATTCCCAATTATTGTCAACGTAATGAACTCTATAATATCCAATCTGTCCAATATTGATTATGTACCAGTCATTTGGCATAACGTTGAGCTCCATCTTCAGAGTAGCTTTGAGATGAAGAAAATTGATAAAACATTATGTACTCCATATATAATCGGCACTACACCTATAATGACTAAAAAAAAAAATACTCCGGCCCAATGAGTAATATTCTTGTGATGAGAGCAGGCTGCTAGCTAAATTGGTAACAGTAATTTACGTCAATATTTATGTCCCAAATATTGGTCGTGAGAAAATATGAACAAAGACTTATTCAACAACCAACCACAGCAGACTTTGCGTAGGCGGATACATTTGATGACATACAGATGATCTGACATTCAAAAAACAGCCACAAAGAGATGAAAGATTAACTTTCAGTGAGAAGCAAGCAATCAGAAGACTGTGTTTGTTTGCTTGAATAATCTATAATAATGTACATGAAAATATATAAATACGTGTTGATTTCCTTAATAAACGATCTGTTGTATGGTGCTTGTCTTCTGTTGTTACATTCTTACATAGCAGTTAGTGTACTGTATGTTGCAACTGAATGCCGCACAGCTTAGAAGACAGTGAAATCAAAATGCACTCAAACAAATGATGTAGACTGGAATCGAATGAATCATAATAATGTTCAAATTGTCATTGTGGATTACGAATACTTGAAATTGGTTTTAGATCATTCCTATCACATGGACAAAGTCTTCGTCCGTCTGGGGATGGTCATTCGTAATTCCGCTTCACTAGACATTCTCCTTTCCACTTTATCTAATCTCCTTATGAATAAAATATTTAACGGAATAGGGGATGCATTTTATCTTGGAACTAGATATCTAATAGTATTGTAACAACAGAAGACAAGCACCATACAACAGATCGTTTATTAAGGAAATCAACACGTATTTATATATTTTCATGTACATTATTATAGATTATTCAAGCAAACAAACACAGTCTTCTGATCGGTTGCTTCTCACTGAAAGTTAGTCTTTCATCTCTTTGTGGCTGTTTTTTGAATGTCAGATCATCTGTATGTCATCAAATGTATCCGCCTACGCAAAGTCTGCTGTGGTTGGTTGTTGAATAAGTCTTTGTTCATATTTTCTCACGACCAATATTTGGGACATAAATATTGACGTAAATTACTGTCCACCAATTTTGACTAACAGCCAACCTTCACCACAGTATAATTGAAAACAGCATAAACAAAGGAACTAAGACTTTCATATTGTATTAATCCCTAAATGTTTTATTTTAGTGTCTATATAAACGCAATCTAATAAAGCGTTTTATCTCCCAAGTAAGAGAAATCTACTCTGATAAATGTCTTAATGAAGAGCTCACTACTAATAAACAACTGATGAGTAAAATCGAATACCCAGAGAAATTCATCGACAACAATATGAATGTGAATTCAAGGCAAGTAAGAGTACAAACAGTCCTTACAAATCCATCTCCTCAATGACGACCCCAGCAATTAATAATAGCGCAGCTTCTGAGTAATGCAGTGAAACGTTCATTCGTTGCCGCTGTCTCTTTATAACCACCCCTATTTTACCTAATTTTGCCTCTTCTGTGTAAATCTATCAATTTGACTGTTCCTGTGGAGTCACTATCATAGGGCGTACAGTTAGGCGTGTTTATCATCGGATTTCCTAACACCATCCTGCGTGGTTAAGCAAAGAAAAACAAGGTCCATTCATAACTCTATTATATATCTCATCTCGTGGATACAGAACACAAAATTGATGTTTACGATGCTCTGAAAGTTATCTATTGTATTCCGACAAACCTTAATTTTATGTCAAGAGTTCTTCTGTTATATATTACTGAAGCCGTCGGAATCTACATTAACAAGCCATCTTATGAATCCGAAATAATTTAGTTCATATGCTCCCTCTTGCTTTCTTCATCAGTGTTTTAACTATCCTTAATTCCTATGCATTTTCTTAACCTTATACGATATTCTATTTAGTATTACATTTTCAATGCTCATAATAAATTATGCATCTCCCTTGAACTGTAATTCCATTGATCCTAACAAATCGATATTATTGAAAAAGTATCATTATTATCAGTGACGATTATTATAGAATATATATATATATATGGATCGGACACTAACTGAGGAGACCGCTGGGTGACATCGCGCGCCAAGCCCTCGAGTGGAACCCGAAAGGGAAGCGGCGTGTGGGACGTCCAAGCGTGACATGGAGGAGATCGTGTGAAGAGGAGTTGAAAGAATATGGATTAACATGGAGGCAGGCGAAAAGTATAGCAGAAGACAGAAGAAAATGGAGACGTGCAGTTGAAGCCCTATGTTCCACTAGGAACCCAAGGGAGCAATAATAATAATATATGTAATTATAGAGACATGAGTTCCTTCAAGGTTTCAGATACGCCTTCCTGACTGATGGGTGTCAACTAGCACGAAACCTAGCTCAAGTAAGGCTTCCTGTTGCCGATTACCTCCGACCAACTAATATCAACAATTCAAAGTGCTCAGTGATGGCGAGCCACCTAGTAGCATGTTGGCCCTATTGCAAACTTGACTGATAGAATTCAGACTGCACCAAACAAAGAACTGGACACATGACACCAGTTACTAAGTGGTGTATTAAAAAGGAGATTTATTCCCTTGAACTTTTCTCTGTCTTCTAAATTTCTGAATACGAACTCTAGTTGTAGTAAAAATGTGTGAATTAATGATTCAATCGGTGTATTTTTCAACTATATGGGTCACAAATGAAGGTATCGAAGACAGTATCAGAAAAACATGACAGGTGTTCATTACTTTGAAATCAATTTGAAGATTCACACACACAAATAAACACTCAGCACAAAAATACGACATCTGGATTTTTAACACCACTGTCAAGTCAGCGCTTTTATGTGGTCCAGTGATTGGTGCGTCACCACAGGTATCTCCAACATGTCACTTTAAACCTTCATCAACACCTGCCTCCACTCGACAATGAAGACCAGACAGATAGCCAGAAAGAATAAGCATCAACAATCTCTTTGAGGGAGGCAAATAACCAAGAACCTACTGTCCAAGAAATATTCAGGAAGAAATGCAGGTGAATTGAACGTACACCGAAGAAGGATTCATTGATGTCACATACCAGGACGTGGAGTGGGATTCGACTACAAAGTGACGAACACGTGGGTGGATAGATAGGTAGGTAATGGATTGTTTTATTCAACTTGTGACCATTACAAGTATTAATATAGTATACAGCACTACTTACCGTTGTTCATCCATATGATTTCATTCGCTGACCCATCCTTTGTCGTGTAGGTTATGGGGATTTTCCAAGTGAAACTAAGTAAACAAAATTTCAAATAAATGACACAAAAAAATATTTTCATATTTCTACCAGATGTGAAAGCAAAAATGATTGTGAAATATGCTATACATTCTCTTCTGTTTTATAAAGATTGACGATTCATTTGAAATTCAACTATGTAGCACTTCACATGTTTATAAACGAGGATTTTCGACAGGATTCTTCCATTTCCGTATACGGAGAAGTGACCGGACGTAAAAACTGATAAGTGGAATTTAGCCAGAACAAAATTTAACTGCATCTTTTTATTATTTTTTATTATTATTATTTTTTATTATTATATAAGCTTTATTCCAAATCAGTACTTGTGATACAGAATGGAATTCTCAGCATTTTACTACAATATTGCATCCAGTTTTTACATTAACAATAAATAAAGTTCTACATAGATTAAAGATTATCTCAACAACATATTAGTATGTCGGTAGCAAAGCCAAAATTAAAATGTTTGAAGGTGTTACAAAAGTAGATACTACTAGCATATTTACTGGCGTAAGCGATAGCAAAATGGTCGAGATATACAGAGTGTAAAAGAACGAACAAGAATGTTTTAAGTAGAGTTTGCAAGGAAGAGAAAAACAAAACAGCACTTAACAAAAATAAAGACAAAAAATAGAGAGAATGAAAAGAGAGAAAACGTTGTACCCATAAATGATGTGAGTTGGAAAGACGAGATTCATTGGTTCTAGTGACTATTTAATAAGTTAAAGGTTTCATGCCTGATGCATTCTTTATCACACAGAACACGGGCTAGGTAGGGTATGGATGAGTTTTTGTACTTACTAGTGCGGGCATATAGTTTCCTATATAGACTTCTTGTTTTCCCTGAAGAGATACATGGGGAGAGTTGTGAGTGTAGAGGGTGTTGTGAGTCAGATAAAATGGACTTCGCCCATTTTTCACATGAGTCCATGTGCCTGTCCACCAGAATGTTAACAAGCTGGCTAAGTGGTAAACTGCTTACCCTGCTGACAACCTTTAACATCCTACGTAATAAGGTATAGTCTTTCTTCAATAGCCCAGGAAAGACTAAGGGGGAGCAATAGAGAATTATAGGCAGAATACGGGAGTTAACAAATTGTAGTAGTAAGGGTTGGGTTACACCAGAATGTCTTAACTTCTTGATGTAGAAGGTAAGACGGTATATTTTCTTGGAAATCGTCAAGATATGAGACGACCAGGAAAGATCAGAAGATAGAGTGACGCCTAGGTATTTAATTTCCGACTTAGTTTCTATTTCAGTGCCATCTATGTTGCACACCTCGTGAGCGCTAACCAGTTTGTTTAGGTCAGATTTATGCCTAAAGGTGAAATTAACTGTTTGGCATTTGGAGGGGTTTAAGGTTAGACCGTTTTCCTTGGACCATTGGCTAATTTCTGATAAGAAGCCATTTAGTTTAGAGCAGTCATTTTGACATTTGACAGGTAAAGATACAGTTAGGTCATCAGCATATTTGACAAAGTTAATATCATTTGAAGACGGTAGGTCATGAAGGAAGAATGAAAAGAGAAGTGGGGAGAGTACAGCACCTTGGGGGACACCAGATTCAGTGAGCACAGCAGAGGAGGATTGACCTTTGTATACGGTGTACTGCATTCTGTTTGAAAAGTAGGAATGCAACCACTTAGTGACCCAAGACTCGGTTTGTGTCGTGGATAGCTTATTTAGCAAGAGACTTCTAGGTACAG